ATATGGACCTTTAAATGATGTTGATTCTACTGACCCATGAACATGGTATGTTCTTCTATCTGTTTATGTCTTCCTCTATCTTTCTCAATGTCCTGTAGTTTTCTGAATACAGGTCTTTTTCCTCCTTAGTTTATTCCTAGGTATCTTAATTTTGTTGCAATGGTAAATGGGATTTTTTTAAAGTTTCTCTGAGTTCATTATTGGTGTATAAAAAAGCCATGGGTATCTGGGTGTTACTTTTGTATCCTGCTACATTGTCGAATTCATTTATTAAGTCTAATAGTTTTTTTTTTAAGTTTTAAGTTCTTAGAGATACTCTCCTATATTTATTTCTAATGTTCTCATGTTTTGCCTTTCACACTAAAGTCTTTAATTTTTTAAAGTTTTAAAAAATTATATCAGAGTTCTATGGATTTGTGGTGGGAAAGAGCAGCCCTTACACTTCCCCTTGTGCACTCACTTCCACCTCATTAATGGGCTCGTGTGGCTCCTTCTTGATGTCCGGTTTTGCCACCAGGAGGTTGATGCTGTGTCTCCACCACGCACATGCACCCTTCCTGTTCCCCAGCTTCTCAAAGTGGTTTGTCACCGTTTGGGGTACATCAATAATCTGTGTTTAAGCTAAGCTACATGGCAAAACATTAGTTATCTTCTCTTACAGATGTTTGTTTTGTCTCCTTTTTCTTGGAACTTTTAATGATCTCTTACTTTATTTTTCTATTTATTTAACACTTATTCAACCCCAAACTCTATCAGATGTTTCTATATATCATAACACTCAGGTGCTTCATGTAACCAACCAATTAGATGTCCCTGAAGTCTTTCCACAGCCTCTGCCTCCAATCTGGAGTGACCACACTGTGCCAGTTGACAAATCCATAGAGTTAACCTGTGACCACAGTGTGCGAAGCCCTAGCAAAAGAAAGCGAACAAGATAGTCATGATTCTTGCCCTCATGGAGCTTACTATCTAATGGTAGATCCAGGAAACGTTTTTGTTCCTAGCTATTTTCTGGGTGTGGAATTGATGCCTGTTTTTCGTTAAGATGGCACCAGGTGTGTGTCTCCTGAGAGGGCTGCTCCTAGTCACCTCCCTGGCCAAGTCGACAGTGGGAACCATATGAACATCTTCCCACTTTTCCTCAGTTAGCCCCTAACTCGTGAAGTGAAGTCAGAGTAGGCAGTTTTTTTCGGCAGCCCCATTTGCCCCATGGTTAGTTGAGGTTCTGGACTTAGATTCTGATGTCAGGCTGTCTTGTGTGGGTAGCAATGGTGAGGTTGGATGAACACTGTGCTGAGAATGGGTCAGGGATTCTAGAAATGTGTGAATCTGGCCATGCCTCTTTGAGGACATGCTGGACCCAAACCCTGGGCAGAAGTCTAGAAAGCTGGGATGACCTCTGAAGGGCTCTGTTTTCTCTAACTCAGTGATGGCGAACCTTTTGAGCTCGGTGTGTCAGCATTTTGAAAAACCCTAACTTAACTCTGGTGCTGTGTCACATAAATTTTTTGATATTTGCAATCATAGTAAAACAAAGACTTATATTTTTGATATTTATTTTATATATTTAAATGCCATTTAACAAAGAAAAATCAACCAAAAAAATGAGTTTGCGTGTCACCTTTGACACACGTGTCATAGGTTCACCATCACTGCTCTAAACAGAGCCTCAGATTTTACCTGTGCAACAAGACCACCCAGAGTAATGGCACCTGCAACAGAGGAATGGAGAGAACAAGGAGGAAAAAAAGGAAAGGAAGATAATTTACTCCAAAGTCTAAGGGAAGCTGTGAGATGACCCAAGAGTGCCCCCTAAAGGCCAATAGTTAGTTTTGCTATTATTCAGCTTAGACCTCCACCCAACCAGAATTCATGAGTATTTAATGAGAAATTGGGACAGGACTATAAGCAAGGGTTCACAGCCAGTCAAAATAAAACTAACATTATAAGTTAAAATCACCCAGCTCCAAAACAGGTAAAGATGAAGACACAAACCATTCAGCTTGGCCTAGCTTTCTTTTTTAAAAAAAATCTATTTTTATTGGTTTCAGAGAAGGGAGAGGGAGAGATAGAAACATCGATGAGAATCATTGATGTCTGCCTCCTGCTAGATCCCCAGCTGGGAAATGAATCATGATCTCCTAGGTCAGTGGTTGGCAAACTGCGGCTCACGAGCCACATGCGGCTCTTTGGCCCCTTGAGTGTGGCTCTTCCACAAAATACCATGTGCGGGCATGCACGTACAGTGTGATTAAAACTTCGTGGCCCATGCGCAGAAGTTAGTATTTTGTGGAGGAGCCACACTCAAGGGGCCAAAGAGCCGCATGTGGCTCGTGAGCTGCAGTTTGCTGACCACAGTCCTAGGTCCACACTCAACCAGTGAGCCACCATGGCCGGGGTTGGCCTAGCTTTCTAACTACTGGCCTACACAATCATTCGGGACACAAAATGCTTTGTGATTTATAGTGAAAACACTCTGCCTTCCCCATACACTCCCTCAGCCCACAGTGCATGTGCTGACGGTCCCTGGAGGCCTTTGTCTGGGGTGCATGGGCAGAAACAGAAGCTGCCCTCAGGGCAGAGGAGTGGCCAAGGAGGCTGGAGCCTAACCTCCCAGGAAAAAGCGGGCAGTGAATTCTCAGATGAGGTGAGAACTAGATCTAGGACAAAGAAATTAGAGTGAATCCCCAAGGTCAGAACCAGGTGCCAGGGCCTGGGCTTTTCCATCTGTGCAAGAACAAAACATAAAACAAGATCCTGGTGGAGATGGAGAGTGGGCAGAGCAGCCTCATGGCCACAGGAGGGACAGCAGAGGCGGTGACTTTGCGGCTTCTGCCAGGTGCTCAGTGGAACCATGTGGGCGGAGTAGGGAAACTGTCCTGAGCTCTGGGGGAAGAAGAGATTTTGATGCCAATACTTAGCTTCAGCAAGCAGCAGACTCAGCCACGGAAAAGGCATCTGAGAACCCTCAGCACCCCTCCCCCAGGCTGTGCTTTGATTCTGCTCCCTAACTCTGTACCTGGGGCTGGGGAAATACCATTCTAGTGTGAAAGCGATTCTATTTACTGTTTAAATAAATCTTCCCCAGGGCACCCCCAAGGTGTATTCTGGCTGGGCTCGGAGGAGGAGGGGCTGCCAGCTGCCACCTGTGGCTTCCCAGACCCTGAACCTACTAGTCAATGCTCTGGGAAGGTGCCTGGCGGACACTGCCAGGTGTGGAGAATCACACTCATTGCTCCTAAGGACTCCATCCTGCCTGTGTCCTTGCAGACCCAAGTTTCCAGACAATGATCACTTTCCGTCTGAATTCTAGTAACTTCCCACATGTAAACAGCCACAGCATCTGACAACCAAAAGCGGCATGCACATATCAATGCTCTCATTTTACAGATAAACTGGCCCAAAGTGGTTAGTTACCCTGCACAGCGTGACAGGGAAGAGCTAGGTAGTCCCCCCACATGTGCTGTCGAAGGCTTCTTCACAGCCTCCTTCCAGGTGAGGCCGGGAGTTTAGGTGGCACCACTTGAAAGCTCTGAGCAGTGCTTGGTGGCAGGGCCTGCTCTTTGCCACAGCCTCTCAGGAAACAACTGGCCCCTATAGCCCGGCTGGAGCTCCGCTGAACTTAGAATAAGGCTGCTGAGCATCTTCCCTGCTCAACTTTGGGCCTTAGCTTTAATTCCAGGTCACAAGATTAAGTGCTTTATGTGCATTATCATATATATACATATACACCGAGTGGCCAGATTATGACGACTACCTGACGTTTGTAGGCAAATTAGCCGTACACTGCATCATATGGGATATGGAAGCCGAAGGCCTGTTCGAACACTTTGCTATCTGAAGTTACTAAGATAAAATGTCTCCAATTTGCACAGGAACACAGGATTGGACAGTCGAGCATTGGAAAAAAGTCATGTGGCCCGATGAATCACGTTTCCAGTTGCATCATGCAGATGGCAGAGTGAGAATTTGGCGGAAACAGCATGAAAGCATGCACCCCACATGCATGAGCACAACCCTTCAAGCTGGTGGGGGCAGGATTATGGTTTGGGGCATGTTTTCCTGGCATGATTTGGGCCCTTTAATTCGTGTGGAACAACATCTGAATAGCACAACATACCTAAGTATCGTTGCTGATCAAGTTCATCCTATCATGTTGATGGCGTATCCCAATGGAGATGGCTTCTTCCAACAAGACAATGCGCCATGCCACGGTGCTCGTATTGTGTAAGAGTGGTTTCAAGAACATGAGGGAGACTTTACCTTCTTAGGTGGCCCCCACAATCACCAGATCTCAATCCATTTGAGCATTTGTGGGACGAAGTTAAAAGAGCCTTCAGGCAGCTGGTTCCACAAGCATATCTCACAGAAGTGGACAGTGCTATTCATCAGGCATGGTGTCAGATTCCTCCAATCACCTTTCAACATCTCGTGGAGTCAATGCCAAGAATCGCCGCAGTATTGAAGGCAAAAGGTGGCCCAACGAAGTACTGATGGGGTGGTCATAATTATCTGGTCACTGTGTGTGTGTGTGTGTGTGTGTGTACTTTTTTTTTCATTATCACATATATTAACTCCTGCTTTTCAGAAGTGGTTTTCCAGATTATAAGCACTGGTTCTATGTGAGACGATAAATGCTCTGAGGCTTTAATCCTGTAAACAAGGGGGTGGGTGGAGGAAAATTCACCAAAGGATAGTGTATAGCTCCCAGGGCAGCTGGGATGAGACTAAGGGGAGTTCTAGACCTGAGATGCCTATGTCTGCTGGAGTCTCTGGGTCTGCCCGGAGGGTACAGACACCCTCTCCACAAAGCCCATGACAGGGCTCTTGGCCTGTCCCCTGTGTTTCCAGAAAAAAAGGCCACATTTCAGCCTCACAGCCCATTTCCTTTGACTGACCATTTTAGATTGCGGCTCCCCATGCACTTCAGGGGAGACATGGCACAGCTCCAGATGGGAAAGAAATGACCCTCTAATGACTTGTTTTACGCGGAGTCAATAAGAATATAAAAAAAAGAAGTTATTTATTTCCTAAAAGTATAAGAACACAAACAAAAAGGGACTCTTATCTAGAATAAGAAATAATAATGTTATAACAAACACTCCTGTGGGCAAGGCCACTGTAAAGAAAGTATTGCTCCCAAAACATTAATAATCTTACCACTGTGCCCGGACTCTTTAGAAGGTTACTACTTCTAAATTACACATGGACAAAGAGTTTGCTTTATTGAACCAGACTCAAAAACTAAGGGTTACGCTTCTTCAGGTTGATAAAATAAAATTCCACGGCTCTGAAGAAAATAATCTTATGTCAGTCCCAGGGAACTTTTCTCCCCAAGAGTTGATTGGTCACTTTCTGTGGAAGAAAAGACAGGCAGGAAAGAAGTTAGCAGCCCTTGTGACCAGGCAGACAGACACTCCTTCCCGCGGACATGGCACTGAAGACGAGTGGGGAAACCTTGTTTACCTTCCCCGGCTACAGAAACATGGTAATTATATGAAAAATACTTCCTGCATTGTTTAGGGAAGATGATCTATAATCAATGTCTATTATTTCTGTAGAGGTGCAGATACTCTATAATCCTGATAGACTAATCCTTCCATCAGTTCGCAAACACACAAGCACGGTGAGAGCCTGATGCAGTGCCGGGGCCTCCGCACTTGAGCAGGCCCAGCCCGAACTCGGGGATGTGCTCCAGAAGCATTTTCCACCCCACATCGGTCTGGGATGAATGCATCTTTTGGTTTCTGACTTTCCGCGTCCTCTTGGGTGAAGTAAGGGGGTTGGGAAGGAAACCAGGACAATGAAGGATGCGGGCCTTTAGGCCCTGTAGCCCGTTTCATTTCTCAAGGAGTAAATTGCTAGCAAGTGTCCTTGCCTGTGAGGTTCTGGGACCCACAGCACCACTGATTCCACGGGAGCGATGGGCAGGACATGGTGCTGGCGTCGAGGCTCTGGCAACTCTTAAGCTACACACAGACATTTTCCAGCCTTTTAAAAGAGTTCTAAAGTATAAAACTACCATCTGGGATGTTGGAATAAAAACACAATTCTACTGGATTTGACCATTTCTACCATAACGTACATCTAAACTGACCCCTACGGATGAAATTTGGTTTCCTTCCAAATGTATGCCTGGAAGGAGCCTTTTTGAGGTTTGGTGTTTTTATTTTTAGATTTGAAATCTAGTCATAGGTGCCTCTATCTTCCAAATGTCAGCAGCGGTACAACGCATCATGAGCTTAAGTTCACTCCCCATATGCAGTTCATTCAAACAGGTCAGGTGTGTTTCACTGTTTTTTCTTCCTTGATAAACCTGACCAACCCCGCTCTGGGACTGACTGACCTTTTTATACAGCTGGGCTCGCAACCGGTACGACTTATATTCCAATCTCCTCCTTTCCTCTTCTCTCTTTTTCTGTACTTCTGGAAGCTGCTCATAAATCCTTAGGAAAGACAGAAAGCAGTGAGGTTACCAGACCATAGAGGCACATGATGTCTTCTCACCGATCTCCCTACATTCTACCCTCTCAAGGCATCCAGTCCCTCAGAAAAGCCTGGCCCATAATGTGCCCAGCTTCCCGTTAGACACTTGAACACAAAGAACTCTGGCCTGGGGTGTTTATGATCTGGAAGGGGAGACAGATAAAGAAAAATACATTAGCCCGCCAGTGTGGCTCAGTGATTGAGCGTCGACCTATGAACCAGAAGGTCAGGGTTCAATTCTTGGTCAGGGCACATACCCCGGGTTGCAGGCTCAATCCCCAGTGTGGGGCAGCCTAAACATAAGGGAAATGATAGGGGGAAAGTACAATCATGGTCACATCTCCAAAAGGTGACACAGTATTACGGGAAAAGAAGAAACTTATTCTGAGTGAAGTAGGTCAGGGAGGGCCAGAGAAGACACTAAGCTTGAGGTGGGTCTTGAAAAATAGGAGCAGAAAGGGGATGGAAGGAGAAGGGAGCACGGGCAAGTCAAAGCTCAGAGAGTGGGGAGCAGGTGGGACGCAGGTGGAGAGGGAGGTGGGTGCGGAGGGCCTCACTGCAATGTGCAAGCCTGGGCTCTGTCCTCTCAGGGATGGGGAGGAGCATGGCCAAACACGCACTTGATAAACGTGCTCTAATTAGAAATAATCTAAATTTCTAATAAAAACAGCTACACAGATGATGGAATATAATGGAATTATTACAAAGCATAAAAAAGGAACAAGTATACACTTTAAAAGTCACTGTTCATTAAAATACAATGAAATATCACCTCACACTGTTAGAATGGCTATTATTAAAACAACAACTGAGAGATAACAAATGCTGGCGAGGATGTAGAGAAAAGGGAACCCTGTGCGCCATCAGTGAAACGTAGGTTGGTGTGGCTACTCTGGAAAACAGTACACCCAGAACTACCATATGACCCAGCAATGACACTGCTGGGTGTTTATCCAAAGGAGATGAAATCACAATCTCAAAGAGATAGCTGCACCTTCATATTCATTGCAGGATTATTACAGAAGTGAAGACATGGAAACAACCTAAGTATCCATCAATGGATGAATGAATAAATAAAACATGACATATATGTATATAAAAACACACATATTTATAAAAATATAAAATGGGGTATTATTCAGCCACAAAAAAGGTAATCCTTCCATTTACAACAGCATGGATGGATCATGAGAGCAATATACTTTTTAAAAGTTAAATAAGTCAGAAACTGTGTGATCTCACCTATGTGTTAAATCTAAAAACATCAGACTCAGAAACAGTGAACAGCATGATGATTGCCAAGGGATGAGGGAATGGGACAATGGGGAGGTGTTGGTCAAAGGGCACAAACTTCCAGTTATAAGATGAAAAAGTTCCTGGGACCTATGTACAGCAAAGTGACTCTAGTTAACAATACGGTACTGTATACTTGAAAGTTGTTCTGAGAATAGAGCTTTAATGCTCTCAGCATAACAACAACAAAATGGTAATCATGTTAACTAATCTTATTGTGGTAACATTTTCATATATGACATTTTCAGCTGTCTCCTGCACACCCCCTACTGAGGATGTGCCTGCAACCAAGGTACATGCCCTTGACCGGAATCGAACCTGGGACTCTTCAGTCCCTAGGCTGACGCTCTATCCAGTGTGCCAAGCTGGCTAGGGCCCCTTTAGACTCGTAAAGCTTGAGGCCAATATTGGTCAATGTGAATTTTATCTATTGAGATCTACTGTATTAGAAATTAAAACTGAACATTTTAAAAGTATTTATTTCTTATTTTTAATCCTCACCTGAGCATATTTTTCCATTGATTTTTAGAGAGTGGAAGGCAGAGGGAGAGACAGAAATATCGATGTGAGAGAAACACATCGATTGGTTGCCTCCTGCACGAGCCCTGACCAGGGCCCAGTCCAGGGAGGAGCCTGCAACCGAGGTATGTGCCCTTGACCAGAATGGAACCCGGGACCCCTCAGTCCTCAGGCCGACACTCTATCCATTGAGTCAAACCAGCTAAGGCAAAAGTACTTAGTTCTTAATTCACTTAAAAATAAAAATAATAAGCCTGTTGCATGCTAACACATATAATAAATATGTTTTCCAAAACTAAAATTTTTAGTAAGAGTGGTACTGTTTTACATATTTTGTAAATCTATATTTTATAAATATTTAATGTCTGGTTTAATAAAAGACAGCTAAATTTTTACATCTGCTTCTGTATTACATTTGTTGTAATATACTGTTCTAGTTAAAAGATACATTTTTAAAAATCCAGTTTACACACATATGTAGTTGGACAAGAGAGAAGTATTTTAATATTCTTTTCAGATAATTGCTGATTTTCTTGATACTGCACCGAAACTTGACAAGTGGTAGTTTCTTAAAAAGTAGTTGCAATGTGGAATCTAAAATCAATGAACTTTTGTACTCTCATATAAACAGAGGTTACCAGTCTACCTTGCACTTTGAATGTATCGTCTATCCATGCCTGATTTTGTAACACAATGCAGCAGTCATTGGGAGAATACTGGCCCAGTGACTTATGCAGAGCTTCCAAATGCTGATATATTTACTTATATAATAACATCTTACTTGTTAATATCATTGCTGATATCAGAAAAGTCTCAGTACTGGGAGGTAGTCAACCATGTAGTGGTAGACCAAGTTTTCTAGAATTTGATTCTTTGCTTGAAAGCTCAAATTTTCTCTTTGGCAGTAAATACTGTCAGCTATTTTCCTTGAAGTGAGACTCACTTCTTCATTTTCAAGAAAAAGTCTGTCATAGGCCCAAGTCGGAATAATCAGTTCATCTACCATTCCTTCAAGTAAAAGCTGTGTTCCACTTCAGCTCGCTCCACAAACCTTGGTGTAAGTGCTCTTCCTTGAACCAGTCATTGGTCTTGCATGCAGCAAGTGCTCTGCGTGTACTTCCCTTACACTGCTGGCATGTGGCTGTAAAAAATACAAAGCTTTCTGCCCTGGCCAGTACTGCTCAGACGTTAGAGCATCTGTTGGCACCTATCTTGGTTGCAGGCTTGATCTTGATCCCTGGCCCCGGTCGGGGCAAGTGCAGTAGGAAACCAATTGATGTGATTCACATCAGTATTTCTCTCTCTCCACCCCTCTATCTCCCTTCCACTCTACTCTCTCTATAGATATCAATGGAAAAAATATCCTTGGGTGAGGATTAAAAGAAAAGAAAAGAAAAGAAAAGAAAAGAAAAGAAAAGAAAAGAAAAGAAAAGAAAAGAAAAGAAAAGAAAAGAAAAGAAAACAAGACCTTCTAGACCACCAGAGTCTCAAATAGTGTTAAGGCACCAGCAGTTTTATTCCTCCCCCATTACTTTTGCATCATCAGTGCAAATGTCAACACACAGAAAAAGGCAATAACATTCTAGTATTATTTTGAGATTCATTTTGACCTGGCAAATCCCAGAGGTCTACAACCACACTTCAAGAACTCCGTGACTAAAGCGTCCCTTTGAAGTACCTATAAGGAAAGGGTTTACTAAATGGAGAGTAAAAACAAAATTTTAGGAGGAATGCTTTAAACATCTAAGATAAACTGTTTTCAAGCATTCTGCTGGCTATAAAACTGTTCTTATTTAAGGAGGTAGCTAATGAACCCCTAAATCAGTGATGGCGAACCTATGACATGCGTGTCAGAGGTGACACGTGAACTCATTTTTTTGGTTGATTTTTCTTTGTTAAATGGCATTTAAATATATAAAGTAAATATCAAAAATACACATCTTTGTTTTACTATGGTTGCAAATATCAAAAAATTTCTATATGTGACACGGCACCAGAGTTAAGTTAGGGTTTTTCAAAATGCTGACATGCCGAGCTCAAAAGGTTCGCCATCACTGGCCTAAATGGTAACTCTTAATTTAGTTATTCCATGGCATTCTCATGATCAATATATGCATATCTCTAATGAGTGGCTAACGCATACAATGGTACAAAATTAAAAAAGTATATAAAGGCAAACAATTAGTCTTTCTCCTACCCACTCAGTTCTTTTTCCCAAAGGCAACCACTATTATCAGTTTTTTGTGTACCCTTCCAGAGATACCCTATGCATATAAAGTGTTCGCCTCTACAGAAGCCCAGATACTTATTTTTAAAGACTATAAATAGTGGCATGTACACGTGCTTCTGAAACCTGACTTTTTTCCCAGCTTAACTTAATGTGTATTGGACAATACTACATTATTTCTCACTGTATTGAATAGATTTCTAGAAACAGGATGGCCTGGATAAAAGGTAAGGCCCCAAATAAGTATTTATTTCAAAATACTCTATATTTAGGTTTCTAATAAGAATGAGCTTAACTAAGGCATACAAATTAGTGGGAATTCTTTCTATTTTTTAAAAAAATATATATTTTATTGATTTTTTACAAAGAAGGGCGAGGGAAGGGAGAGGGATAGAGTCAGAAACATCGATGAGAGAGAAACATCGATCAGCCGCCTCCTGCACACTCCCCACTGGGGATGTGCCCGCAACCAAGGTACATGGCCTTGACCGGAATTGAACCTGGGACCCTTGAGTCCGCAGGCCGACGCTCCACCCACTGAGCCAAACTGGCCAGGGCTCTTTCTATCTTTGGTAGATGAGTCATCCATACCATGATCTGCTACCTATTCTTCTCTTTTTTAGTGTCATACATGAGGAACTACTTTCACAACTAATTTTTTATGTTTTAACTTGAGCAGAATGCCTTTATTCTGAGGGCAAGCCAGAGCTCTTAAGTACTTGCTGGCCTGATTTGTACTTCTCTAATTACTCTTATTCTCTTGGCCTTACCGTTTAGACCTCTGAATCATTTCCTTCTTTCCAACAGGCTTATACTTCTGGGCAGCCAGGAAACCTAAGCAAGAGAAAAAAGGGTTTACAGTGAATAGTGACATAACAAGGAAGGGTGTGGTATGCAAGAGCTGTGTGACAGAGTTGCTAGGACTCTGAGGTCCTACTATGAGCTGACAGTGCTAGGTGGTCACCAACGGTGAAGGCCAAGGCCAAGGTTAAACTGTGAAAACTGTGACAGCAGCCTAAGTCTCCTGAAGGCACAACACTGTGGCACAGACTAGACCAGGAATTGATACACTGCCCCGTTTACAGGTAATGTGATGAAAGTGTTGGGTACTTTATAGAGTTTTCACAGCTTTCAAATATTACTTTATTGGTCTTACACCTGAGCATAACTGTGAAGAGCACTGATTCCGGAGCCAGCCCACCTGGGTTCAAACCTCAGCTTAGTAGGCACTTCATCTCTTAGCCTTTGTTTTCTCATCTCTAAAATAGGGATATTAATAGGATTTACCTCAGGAAGTATTGTAACTATTAAATGCCAACAATGTCTGAGTAAAACATAAGGGCTACATAATTATTACTTTTTATTTTTTAATATATTTTTATTGATTTCAGAGGGGAAAGGAGAGGGAGAGAGAGAAGAAACATCTATGATGAAAGAGAATTATTGATCAGCTGCCTCTTGCACGCCCCACACTGGGGATCGAGCCTGCAACCCAGGCATGTGTCCTGACCAGGAATTGAACCGTGATCTCCTGGTTCATAGGTTGACGCTCAACCACTGAGCCATGCTGGCCAGGCCATAACTATTATTTTAATTACTAACACTACTACTTCTATTATTATTATTATTACCACCCAATGAAGTAGACAAGCCTGAAATCAGCCCCCTCTTTAATGAAAGAAATGAACAAACATAATCTACTTTTGGAACTAACTTGCTCACAGACACAGATTGTTTATAAAAACACCTTCTTACTGTACACTCTCGTTTTTAAGATGCAGTGATAGGGCAAGACTAACTGGGTTCATTTGGATCATGAGAGTACTAAGAGCTAAACTGGGAGGGTTCGGTGACCTCAGGAGATGTAAGTCTCAGCAAGCAAAGAAGTCTGTCTGTCTGTCCATGTAACTGGCCTGGCGCTGAGCAGTGCTTCTCCCAGCAAGAAGCAGACCTTAGAAAAAAGAAAACAAAAGCAGACCTTGACCTCTGTACCCAGGAAAGGAAAGTGCAGCATGTACCTCTCTTAGAAAACAGGTGCACGGAGTCCCCCTGGCCCTGCCATTCTCGCCCAGTGTTGAACAGCGTCTCCCGCTCACTTTGTAACACGTTCTGTAGCTTCCTCTCCTGGACTATTAACTTCAGGCGTTTTATCCGCTCCCCAGAGCGGGAGATGAAGTCAGGTCTGTGAAACAGAAGTGATTCCTGAGGAGAAAAAGCCCCCATCCTCACATTAATGATGCAGTCTGCTCTCTAAGGGCATAGAAAAACAGGACTGACCAACAGATTTAAAGAGTCTATTTCTAAAGCTATTTTCTATTCTATTCTATTATTGAAAACTAGAGGCCTGGTGCACAAGATTCGTGCAGGGGGGGCCCTCAACCCAGCCACGCCCTCTTGCAGTCCGGGAGCCCTCGGGGGATGTCCAACTGATGGCTTAGGTCTGCTCCCAAGCAGTCGGACAGCCTTAGCGCTGTCATGGAGGTGGGAGAGGCTCCCGCCACCGCTGCACTCGCCAGCCATGAGCTGGCTTCTGGCTGAGCGGGCCGTTCCCCCTGTGGGAGGGCACTGACCACCAGGGGGCAGCTCCTGTGTTGAGTGTCTGCCTCCTGGTGGTTGGTGTGCATCATAGCAACCGATTGTTCTGCTATTAGGTCGATTTGCATATTACCTTTTTATTATACAGTGGGGCCTTGACTTATGAGTGTCCAGACTAACGAGTTTTTCGAGATACGAGCCGTCTCTCGGCCGATTTTTTGCTTTGAGTTGCGAGCTAAAATTCGGGTTACGAGCCAGCTTCAGATACCCCACCGCTAGTTGGTGCAGCGAACGTCACAGTGAATGCCACAACATCAGCCCAGCATCACGTGTCTCACTCGTTCACTGTTGATTTGACATACGAGTAATTTGAGTTACGAGCTCCATCACGAAATGAATTAAACTCCTAAGTCAAGGCCCCACTGTATAGGACTAGAGGCCCATGCACAAATTTGTGCACCAATGGCCTGCGGGATTGGGCTGAAACCAGCTCTCCGACATCCCCTGAGGGGTCCCAGATTGCGAGAGGGTGCAAGCCAGGCCGAGGGACCCCACTGGTGTATGATCAGGGCTGGAGAGGGACACGGGAGGTTGGCCAGCCGGGGAGGGGCCACGGGAGGGCTCCAGGGCGTGTCCGGCCCATCTTGCTCAGTCCCGATCGGCTGGACCCCAGAAGCAAGGTAACCTAACAGTCGGAGCATCTGCCCCATGGTGGTCAGTGCACGTCATAGGGACTGGTCGACTGTTGTCCCCTGGTGGTCAGTGCACGTCATAGAGTGGTTGAGTGGCCTTAGCATATCATTAGCATACTACACTTTGGTTGAACGGATGAGCGGACACTTAGTATATAAGGCTTTATTATATAGAATAATCTAACAAACTCTCTGTGCGGGAGAGTTCCAGTAGGGAAATCAGAGGGATCACAGAAATGCCTTAGGAATAAGCCAAGAGCTAAGATGTGGCAATCACACCTCTCCCAGATAGGATGGAGCTTGGCCCATTGTGCTATATTAAATTTCCCTTCAAATACAGGGTGGGGCAAAAGTAGGTTTACGTTGTCGGTACACGACAGTTTATTCTTGTATTGTTATTTGTTAACTATTGTATTATTTGCCATACGAACAACTGTAAACCTACTTTTGCCTCACCTTGTACACCATTAAATAACATTTCCTGTAGCTCCCAAACGACATGTAAAGAGACTCAGTGCCCTTTAAACCTCGTGTTATATAGCAGTAGGAGTTCTGGAGGAACAAATATAAGGCTGAGCCAACATGAGACTTCCAGGCCAACATGTGTCCATAAACCCGATGAGCAGTGGTGTCACAACATCCTTCCTTCTACTGCCTTGTCTCCAGATGCTGAGGGTGATGCATGATTTAAAATGGTTAACAGAGTAAGGCAGCCTTTGATTAATGATGAGAGTGAGAACAGATAACTCTGGTGGTGCTAGAAATGAGGGTCACATGACTGTGCTTCTGAAGGCCAAGTCACAGATTTAATTTCTTTGAACCTCACCCCTTTCCCCCCCTGAAACACAGGGCTAAAATGCACTCGATGTCCCTGTACCTGTAAGGTTGCTTTCACCAATGGCTTCAGTGGGCTCCTGCCTGGGCCTGCTAGTGACATGTGGCTGGCCGTGTGCTGGCCCTGCCAGTTCTGCTCCCGCAGTGGTTCCCTCCAGGGTTTGGTGTTGGTTATTGGTGCAAACCAGGCGATACCAGGGCCACGATGATTGAAGTTCTCCTTCTTAGGACCAGACTTCACATTTTCCACAGGAACAAACCATGAAACTTCTACAGGAAATATTTTTAAGAAAGGAGATTTTTCATATTTCTCAGAGACGTGTGCATAAAATAGGCTCTCAGCAGATGTAGCTGTTAGAGGCCATCATGATGCCCAGGAGTCTGCTTAACTGCAGGAATGACTCTATAACTGTAGTGCAGGGGGTGGAGATGGGGTCAACACAGGGTCATTTAGAGACAATAATCTGAGCATAGCTTTTCTGCTATAAAACCGGGAATTAGAAACTGACCTTCACAGCAACTCTGTTTGTTCTTCTTTAACTTTTTGTCTCCAAGATTTCTGGTAAGGAGCTTTTCTTCTACTTTTTCTTCTGACCAAGAAGTCACATCACTGTCCTCTTCCACTTTAACATCACTAAAACTTGGAGTTGGGAAAATCACCCCAACATCTCGAGTGTTTTTTTTTAAACCATTCACAATCTCCACGTTTCCTGAGGGGAAAGATCACAGATGTCTCTGGGAGCAGCCTTGAGACTTAGTTGGCAGGTAATATATTCAAATAAGTAAATGAAAAGTTTTTAAGGCTTCAAAAATGCAAGCTATGGCCTTTGTTGGGTGGGTTGGAGTGTGTAAGGGGGAAGAGAGGAAGGGAGGAAAGGTGGTAGGGGGAGAAAGGGAGGGGAAAGAGAAGAAGAAAAAGGGAAGGGAGAGGAGGAGTGGGGGAAAGGGGGGACAAGAGAAGGGTTTTTATCTCAGAGTCAGTTTAGGTATTAGAGGGAAAGAACTACTAATATAGATTCAGTTCTGATCCCAAGTGAGAAAGACAGAAAATGCTTCTAGTCCTCCTGGAAGTCACCTAGGTAAGGAAGAGGTTGACAGATGTAAAGACATGACTTGAGGGGAAAGAAAAAGTCAATGCAGAAGTTTATTTTTGTTTTATAAAATCAAAAGATATAAAAAGGCATAAAATGAAAAGTATCCTTCCCACTCCTATTCTCCATTCACCCAGTTCATAACCCCATTATTCCAGACAATTTTCTGTGTACATTCAAACAATTCTCTTATTTATTTATGTTAATCCTCACCAGAGGGTATTTTTCCATTGCTTTTTGAGAGAGTGGAAGGAGGGGATGAGAGAGAAAGAGAGAAATACTGATGTGAGAGACACCCATTGGTTACCGGCCATACACTGGATCGAACCTGCAACCCAGGTATGTGCCCTTGACCAGGAGTCGAACACGAGACACTTGGTGCTTGGGCTGATGCTCTAACCACTGAACACACCACCCAGGGCTCTTCCTTATTTTTTAAATACATGTAGTAGCATGCTATACACTGTTCTGTACCTACCTTCTCTTTTTAATTATATGTCATGGAGATTTTGCCATATTGGTAGAGAGACCTTTGTCATCCTAAGTAGGATTTCATTATATAGATGTACAGTAATTTATTTAACCATTTGGCTATCGATGAACATATAAGTTGCATTTTATTTTCTGCTAAACAATACTTCGATTAACTATGTGGTTAATTCTATACACTTGTCATTTTGCACATATAATGCACAGTATATCTAAAGGCTAAATTCCAAAAGTCAAAGTGAGGGTGAAAGAAATTTTGATAGAAATTGCCAAATTGCCTGTCATAGGGGTTTATACTTCCAATTTATACTCCCACTAGAATGTATGAGAGCACTTATTTCTTTAGACTCTTGCCACATACTTGCTATGAAGCTTAGATTTTTGCCAATCTGATAGGTGAGTAATGACATTTGAGTATAATATTAATCTTCATTTAGTATCATGCTGAGCATCTTATATTTAAGAGCTACTTGTATTTTAGTGGAAAGAAATGTTTAAATTCAAGTAATTTACCTGCTTGCACGCCCTTGTTTAACATATGTACATTTTGTTTGTCGCAAAGGGTAGAGCTTGAGCTCCAGAAATGACTGGTAGAAGACGAAACAGAGTCAGAAGAAATCATACGGTTTACCACCTAGAAAAAACAAGAGACCCTGTTGTCATTACCTGCAGTCAATGGCACAATTACCCACAGACTAGGAAAACAGTCACCAACCAAAGAGAGCCCTTTCTTATCCAATCCAAACTGCTGAGATGAAGCTTGTGACAGTGTGAGCATGCTACCACAGGATTTATGACAGGGAGGAGAATGCTGCTGTGGTTGAATAAGGGCTTGAGCTGTTTCCTGAAGGTAAGACAACAGACAGACAAACAGACAAACTGGGTATATTCCTAGGACTTGAGAAAATGGAAGAAGGTGCTAGCCAAAAATCAGCCTGGTCAGTCTTCAGAATGAAATTTTGACTGGACACCTGCCTAAGTTTTGATGAGAGAGCAGAGGGCAGGGGTAATTACAGAGAGCGATGAGCAGCAGAGTGCTTTCTAAGATCAGGCTCAGATACTCAGACGAGGGTAAACGCTGCAGAGCTGAAAGGCCCCTGAGAAGTCCTGAATGAGTGCTGCAAAAAGCATTAAAAAGCCCAAAAGGCCTTTTTAGTTAAGTTCAGAGCAAGATGAGCAATGCAGGTTGGAAAAATTCATGGATTTAAGGTGATGGTGGAATATTAGTGGGTGACAAAAATATTATCAAACTGTAGTTGAATAAATACAGTATAAAATAGTATTTCTTAAACTTGCCTATTGCAACAATCCCCTTGGGGAGTGGCCCTGACCCAGACGATGAGTTGAATCTCACTGGGAGGGAAGGAACATCTTGCTCATCTCTTTTTTAAATTTTTTTTTATTTTTTTTCCTTTTTTTTTTATTGCTTAAAGCATTACAAAGGGTATTACATATGTGTCCTTTTTTTTCCCCGCCCTTGACAATACCCCGGCTTCCCCTACCCCCCAGTGTCTTATGTCCATTGGTTATGCTCATATGCATGCATACAAGTCCTTCAGTTGATCTCTTACCCCCTTCCCTCCTGCCCCACAACCCTCCCCGGCCTTCCCGCTGCAGTTTGACAATCTGTGTGAGGCAGCTCTGCCTCTGTATCTATTATTGTTCAAAAGTTTATAATGGTCTCTATTATCCATGAATGAGTGAGATCATGTGGTATTTTTCCTTCATTGACTCTTGCTCATCTCTTAAGCAGGTTTGGTAGAGGTAAACTGAAGACCAATCCAGGAAAGGAAACTGCAGGTACTTGCTCCCCTGAGCTAGATAAACTAAACTACATTCCAGGGACTTCAGGAAACTTAGCAACAGAATCCTGGAGGAGGGAGCTATGTTAGATGTCCGAGGCCAGGAAATGTTGTAATTGGTGGGTTTAAAACTAATGACCTGAAATATTTTAGAATGGATCACCAATCTGATAACTTCAATGAGGGCTTGTAAGGCAGGCAGAGCAAGCCCTGCCAGGTTAGCCTCGTTTCCCCTAGCAGACATGGTCACTAACTGGCAGACAAAAGAACTGTAGTAAGTACTTGATTTGAACAAATGACAGAAATTCTCATGACATCTTTGAGGGCAAAATGGAGTAATATGGGCTGAATCGTAATATAATATTCTTATCAACACAGCAAGAGGCCATTACTGAGCGACAGATCTCGCATTCAACACAAACATTTACTCAGCGCTTTCTGAGCGGCAGTCACTTGGTTTACTCTGGCTATTCCTTAACATTTTACATATCAGTGTATTAGAGATATGGGAAGCAGATCTCCCCTACAATGCACATCTGGGAGGGCCTAAATGGTTGCCACAATCCCAAATAACAGGAATAATAGGCCAAATCAAACAAAGGTTAATTGCAAAGTTCCACACATTAGGCAGGAGGAATGGCAGAAACTTGGATGCAGTAGAAAAAGCTCTGGGTCTGAAGCCCAAGACCTACGCCAGTCTCAGATCTTCCCTTCACTGTTTCTACTCGAGTAAGCCATAACCTCTCTACACCAGTTTCCCATCTAAAAAGGGAAACTACATATCTGAAATTATCAAAGTGTTAGAAAGAACAAATGATTTACATTCCGAACAGTAAAAAACAAATATAAAACTATGAGATTATTATGTTAAAAAAAAGTATAAGCTCAGAAAGGGTGGTGAAGATGTGACTGACCTTTTCTGCAACTGTAAAAGAAAAAAGAAAAAGCAGCAGCAACACTTTAGGTACTGAAACAGACTGATTCTCAAGATAGATTATAGACTTTACAAAATGTAAAGTATGCTGCCATTTTTGTGAAAAAGGGTATACAACATATGTAGGTATTTGCTTTTTAATATATAAAATGCCTATGAAAGAAAAGAAACCGGGTTGGAAAGGGAGAGATAAAACTTTTTATTTGCAGATGGCATGATCCTATCTGTAGAAAATATGAAGGAATCCATAAGGAGGTATTAGAATTAAAAAAAGTTTAGCTAGAGTGCAGAATATAAGATCAATAAGAAAAAAATCCGTTGTATTTTTATATCTAGCAATGAGCAATTGGAAATAAAATCAAGGAAACAATTCCATTCATAATATCATCAAAAAGAATAAAATATTTAGGAATAAATTTAGCAGAAGGGCAAGCTTTGTACTCTGAAAACTATAAACTATTGATGGGAGAAACTAACAATCTACATAAATAGTGAGATATTCCACATATATAATTTAAATGTGGGTAAAAGACAGACATTTCACCAAAGAGATATGAGTGACCAATAAGCATATGAAAAGATGTTCAATATCGTCAGTCATTAGGAAAATGCAAATTAAAAATCACAATGATATCACTTTATATCCACTAGAATAGTTACAATAAAAAAAAGATGGATAATACTAAGTGTTGAGAAGGAAGCAGAGAAACTGGAACCTTCACATATTGCTGATGGGAATGTGAAATGATACAGCCACTTTGGAAAATGCTTTGGCATTTTCTTAAAAATTAAACATAAACTTAACATGTTACCCAGCAATTCCACTCATACATACATACCCCAAAATAAATGAAAGCCTGTCCACACAAAAACATTTACACAAATGTTCACAGCACATTATTTATATTATCCCCTCAAATTAAATAATCCAAATGTCTAACAACTGATAATTGGATAAACAAAATGTGGCCTCTATCATATAATGGAATACTAATCACCAATAAAAAGAAACTACTGACACAAATTACAACATGGGTGAACTTTGAAAATATGCTGAGCAAAAGAAGCCAGATGCAGACACTACATATTACATGGCTGTATTTGTATGAAATGTCCAGAAAAGGCAGGGGCGGGGTAAAAAATGTCTGGGGTTGTAATGCAGATTGACTGTAAACAGTTGTACAAGGGACCTTTTTGGGGTGACAGAAATGTTCTAAAATGGAATTGTAGTAATTGCACAACTCTATAAACTTACTAAAAATAATTGACTTGTACACTTTAAATAGATAAATTTTATGTTATGTAAATTATACTTCAATAAATCTGTTTACAAAACAGGAGTGGGAAGGACACTATCAAATACTCTTTTACACATTTTAAACTTTGTAACATGATTGCATAACTAGTTTAAGAAGTGAGAATAAAACAAAACCTTACAGAGAAGAGTGTAGCAATAAAGGTCTAATGACTCTGGTGAGTTCAACGGGAGTAAAATGTTAGGTCATAGAACTGTTTGAGCCACAGAGAGGAAGGTGATCACTCTGTCAACAGGCTCTATCTGAAGTACATGCAGCATGCTTAGTTCAGAGACGTTTAAAAATAGGATACTGACAACCTTCATAGACCCAGGAAAGCTGCCATCTTGGAAAAGGGGAGTAGAAAGCATGACCTGGGAGGAATAGTTCAAAGAGTGAAGATCAGAAAGAAAACGAAAGAAAATAAAAATACTTCAGGGAAGGAAGAGGGGACCCAAGAGGTAGAAAATTAGATCTATTTTCTGTTCCTTTGGAGTGCAAAACTGGATATCAATGCAGGCTGAACCTGGATCTTTGTAAGTTACAACCTTTAAAAACTGGAGCCTTAGACAAATGGGATGAGCTGCCCATGAGCAGTGAGTGGAGGAGCCGTTGAAGCAGAGGCTGGAGCACCTTTTGGTACAGGTGAAGCAGAAGGGTTAATGGTGGTCCCTTCCAACCGAGTCTGAACCTCCTGGTTCCGAAGCACACACCCAGTCTGATATGCACCACTGGTGTGAAAGCACATTTACATCTGATTAAATGAGAAGGCTTGGTGTGTGTGTTTCCAGTTCTAGGGCAAGTCCCTGCCTAGAAAAAGGTTAATATTTAAAAATAGAAAGTAATCTAAAATAAATTTCCTTTCAACAAAACATACTTAGTTAGCCCTCTAGAACGGTGAAAATAAAAACATACAAAAGCAAGTGTTTTCAAGGATGTGGAGAAATTGGAACCCTCATACATTGCTGTGGAAATGCAAAATGGGGACAATACTTTGGATAATGGTTTAGTAGTTCCTCAAACGGTTAAACATAAAGTTATATATAATCCAGCAGATATCCACTCCTAAGCATATGCACAAAACACATGTCCACACAAAAACTTGCCCATGAAAGTCCACAGAAGTTTTGTTAATAGCCAAAAAGTTAAAGAAATACAAATGTCCATTAACTGGTGGCTGGATAAATAAAATGTGTATTCATATAATGGAATGGTATTATCCTATATAATAAAAGGGTAATATGCAAACTGACCCTAACAGCAGAACGACAGGGAATGACTGGTCACTATGACACATACTGACCAGCAGGGGGCAGACTCTCAATGCAGGAGCTGCCCCCTGGTGGTCAGTGCGCTCCCACAGGGGGAGCTCTGCTCAGCCACAAGCCAGGCTGATGGCTGCCAGTACAGTGGTGGTGGTGGGAGCCTTTCCTGCCTCCTCAGCAGCACTAAGGATGTCCAACTGCAGCTTAGGCCTGCTCCCCGCTGGCAAGTAGACATCCCCTGAGGGCTCCTGGGCTGCCAGAGGGATGTCTGATTGCCAGCTTAGGCCCAATCCCCCGGGGAGTGGGCCTAAGCCAGCAGGTGGTCATCCCCCAAGGGG